TCCTGTGATTGGAAGCGCTGTGCTGCGACCGTAGCATGAATAAATATAGTCAAGTTGAGAAGGTTCTCGAAAGAGGCGTGGGAATATGTGCAACGAAACTTCGAGAAGAAAATCCGCGTAGAGATAAAATAACTCGTCCGCGTTCGTTCTCCTCTCCTCGTCTCGTCTTGAACACTCCCACCTTGCGCACCCAAAAAATGTCTCAACCCGAATCAGAGAGCTTTGGCTTCCAGGCCGAGATCTCCCAGTTGCTCGACTTGATTATCAGTCAGTCGTGTTATCTTTGTCTGATTTATTGACGCGACATTCTTACCCGCCCTCACTGTCACTCAGACACCTTCTACTCCAACAAAGAAATTTTCCTCCGTGAAATTATCTCCAACGGCTCTGATGCTCTGGACAAAATCCGCTACGCTTCCCTTACCGACCCCTCCGTCCTCGAGTCGGAAAAGGAGCTCTACATTCGCATAACCCCCGACAAAGACAACAAAATCCTCTCCATCCGCGATAGTGGCATTGGCATGACCAAGGCTGACATGGTCAACAACCTTGGTACCATTGCCAAGTCCGGGACGAAGGTAATCTCGGTCAACGGTCCTCGTCTCGGCTTGTCATCCTGATGTATCGTATCGTCATAGGGCTTCATGGAAGCACTCAGCTCTGGCGCTGACATCTCCATGATCGGCCAGTTCGGTGTCGGCTTTTATTCGGCCTACCTTGTGGCTGAGCGCGTTCAAGTCATCTCAAAACACAATGATGACGAGCAGTACATCTGGGAGTCTGCCGCCGGTGGCACGTTCACCATCACCCTTGACAATGTGAACCCACGACTCGGCCGTGGCACTGAGGTCCGCCTATACTTGAAGGAGGACCAGACGGAGTATCTGGAAGAGAAGCGCGTCAAGGATACCGTCAAGAAGCATTCCGAATTCATCTCCTATCCCATCCAACTTGTCGTCACCAAGGAAGTTGAAAAGGTTTGTCATATACTGGCTATCGTTTGTCCGCCGCTCTTATCACGCGTTTGCAGGAGGTCGAGGATGAGGAGGAAGAAGAGGTAAAAGAAAAAGAGGATGAGGACGAAGAGGGCAAGGCCAAGGTTGAGGAGGTTGAGGACGAAGACGAGGATAAGGCCAAGGAAAAGAAGAAGAAGAAGGTCAAGGAGCAGACCAAGGTCAACGAGGAGCTCAATAAGACGAAGCCTATCTGGACACGTAACCCGAGTGATATCACACAAGAGGAGTATGGCGCCTTCTACAAGTCGCTTACCAACGACTGGGAGGATCATCTTGCTGTCAAGCACTTCTCCGTCGAAGGTCAGCTTGAATTCAAAGCCATCCTTTATATCCCAAAGCGGTACGTGGTGTTCTCACCTGTTTGCACGCTTTGTCGATTCTGAATTCATCCTCTAGCGCGCCATTTGATCTGTTTGAGAGCAAGAAAAAGCGTAACAACATCAAACTCTACGTCCGCCGTGTTTTCATCATGGATGACTGTGAGGACCTCATTCCGGAGTACCTCAACTTTGTCAAGGGTATCGTCGATTCGGAGGACTTGCCACTCAACATCTCGCGTGAGACTCTTCAGCAGAACAAGATCCTCAAAGTCATTCGCAAGCATATCGTCAAGAAGTGCATGGACTTGTTCTCGGAGATTGCTGAGGACAAAGATAACTTCCAGAAGCTCTATGAGGGCTTCGGCAAGAACATCAAGCTTGGTATCCACGAGGATGCTCAGAACCGTAGCAAACTTGCCGAGTTCCTGCGTTTCCACTCGACAAAGTCCCCCGAGGAGCAGATCACCCTCAAAGGTGCGTGTTGCGCCCCGCATGCGCTTTACTTTCTGCTCACGATCGACCTCCAGACTATCTCACACGTATGCCTTCGGGACAGAAGGCCATTTACTACCTGACGGGTGAATCCCTTGCGGCCATCAAGGACTCTCCGTTCTTGGAAGTTCTCAAGAAAAAAGGGTTCGAAATTCTACTGCTCGTGGACCCCATCGACGAGTATGCCGTGTCGCAGCTGAAGGAGTTTGAAGGCCACAAGCTGGAGTCTGTCTCGAAAGAAGGTCTCGAGCTCGAAGAGACAGACGAGGAGAAGAAGGCGCGCGAAGAGGAGGCCAAGTCGTATGAGGACTTGTGCAAAGTTATCAAGGATGCGCTCGGGGACAAGGTTGAGAAAGTTGTCGTTTCGAACCGTATTTCGGACTCGCCTTGCGTCTTGGTCACTGGCCAATTTGGTTGGTCCTCGAATATGGTGGGTTCCCGCCTTGAACCGTGGATGCGGATCAGAAGACTAGAAGCTGATGGTCTACGCCGTGTTTAGGAACGTATTATGAAGGCTCAGGCTCTTCGCGACACCTCGATGTCATCCTACATGGCGTCGAAGAAGACACTTGAGCTCAATCCCAAACACCCAATCGTCAAGGAGCTCAGGCGAAAAGTCTCTGAGGACAAGGCAGACAAATCGGTCCGGGATTTGACGTATCTCCTGTTCGAGACGGCTCTCCTCATTTCTGGTTTCTCGCTTGAGGAGCCGACGTCCTTTGCCAAACGGATCCACCGCATGATTTCGTAAGTGACTTGTCTTTTCTGCATGCGGATTCATGACTAAGAGCTCCTTGATCCGATTCTAGGCTTGGTCTTGACGTAGACGAGGAGGAGGAGGCTGCACCCGCTGCCGAGGAGACGGCGGTCGCTGCCGAGGCAGAAGGCGCTTCTGCGTCCGCAATGGAGGAGATCGACTAGAATTGGACGGACTTGGGCTATTCGCGTAGTAAAATTGGCTGTTTGCTCATGGTGTATTACGCTCTCACATTCACGCTTTTCTACCATTTGTCTATATCATCATCTAGTTATCCACAAAAGAGCAAGTTCTTTTACTCTCTCGCGTCAATCATGACGCGCGTGATGACTTTGTGAGCGCTGACTCTGACTGGCATGATCATAATATATGTATGATGGATGCCACGCTCACGACCCAGTATGGGAATGACGACGCGAGGAACAGCTTAGGCACGGTGAGGGCAGTTTCACCGACATCCGTCCAAGGTACTCGCCGTTCCGAAGGACGTTGACGTCCCCTCTACTCCCCTCATCAATGGACTCGTTCATCTCCCTATATGTATACAAGGGTGTCTGCCACGTCTTCACTGCCACGAAAGCGATTCCATTCATTAATCAAGTACGCTCTAGCCCGCGTGCGATCCTCATGTTTCGTCCTCGGAGTCACCTTCGCAGACCCGGCTCACGAATTTCCCGAGTTAGGGGCTCTTGTAAAGGCAAGTGACGTCCACGCGAGTCATTATTCGCACCGGAATGTCTACCAAACAAGGGTGCATAATAAGGTTACTCGGGCGACGCTGTAAAACGAGGCTCAGAGACGCGCCTTTGTTCGCTATATTTGTTATGATTTGTCAGCATCACAGGCGGCGGCAACGTGCACCGTTTTTGACACGCGGTATCCTTACTCTTCCCCCATTGTCTGCTCCCCTTCATATAACACCAGTCCCTCCTTTCCCTCCCTTTTTTCTCTTCCAATCCCGCACGCTCAATTTTCTTCCAAGGCCAACTTTGACAGACTCGCTTTCGACAGCAATCGCCCCTCAGTCCCCGTCTTCCCTCGACCAAGGCCAGCGATCTATACAATGCCACCGATCCCCATTATCGCGCCACAGCCCCGCCGTTTGCTCCCGCAGCCAACGATCATCGACCCATCAACGCCTGTGTTACCCATCAACCTCGACGATCCGTTCATCGTGAGCCTTTTGTCTTCTTTATCCTTGCCTTATCCGAGGCCTCATGTCTTCCTCATGCAGTGCCACACACCGGCCCCCAAGAACGCTCAGCTTCCTCGCCTCATGTCTCCAATCCGTATTCACCACCGTACCATGCGTTCTCTTGTCCGTTTTCCTTTTGTCCTTCCGTCTTGATTTTCCCGTTCATTTCGAGTATTTTTTTTTTCTAGGCATCGCAGTCTCCGACGCCATGCAGTTCCATCAAACGACAAGTGGGCTGTCCTCCACGTACCCCCCGCCGTCGGCGACACAATATCCGACCAGAAGCCATCATTGCGCCCCGCGTGATTAACTTCGATTCGCTCCCCTGGATTTCCGCTCTAGACGACCCCATACTTACGGCAGGGAATCCCTGGGATTCTGATCTCTCACAGCTCGCGTCGGCGGAATATATGCGCGCTTCAGGACTCGGGCCTGTCCGCCGGCAGAAGTCTATCTTCTCAAGAGACCGGACCGAGCTCGTTGTGCCGCTCGTCTCGTCACCGCCGAATGCCACGTCGACGCCTCCACCGCGGTTTCCGTCGCCGTCGCGAGTTCAGTTCGTTGGCCTAATGCCAATTATGACGCCTGTCCGGGCAGCAACACGTTAACATCCGTAATGTGCTGTCACATCGCGTTGCCCGAACTTAGAAGTGCCATTTAATCCTCACCCCTTTGTTCACGTCACGATTCCCTTCATTCAAATGGACCCTCATCCTCTCTCAATCCGGATTCACCCGTGCCTCTGTCCTACAAGTCTGCATCATCAACTGTGATTCTAATCATCGCATATATATCTTACCATCTTCTCACATTTCATCCCATTCTCATCTCACGATTTTTCGATCAACCCAATCCTTCCCGTACTTGATTGTACGAGGCCCATTCACCTTTTGCCGTGCGTCATTTGTACGTTCAACCCTGTGATGTTGATATTTATTGCGTGCATCGTGTGTGTCGACTGGGTTCCGCTGCACGTTACCACTCTCTTTCTCAACTGCATCTATGTATGATGTTTGCCTCCCCCTCATTAACAGTTTTCTTATTAAGTTTACACGTACCAACGCCATTCTCTGCCTTTACGTGTTCCTGTACAACTTGTTCCTATACAATGTGCAATACAATGTTTGTGACCAACGTTTGTTGATATTACGACTTGGCTTTGCGCAATTTTTGTGCACGTGTGATATGAAAGAAAAGTAAACAGGATTGCAAAAAGTAAACTGCCCCAGTGAGGCTCGAACTCACGACCTTCCGATGAACTTCCACTTGGACAGTAACAGTCGGACGCTGTAACCAACTCAGCCATGGGGCATATATTAAGCCTGGCATCCGAGACATTTACAATCTAAACACAGATTCATCCCAGGGGACACCAAACTAAGTTCTAACCAGGTACACGCCCGTGCCAAACTAATTTTTTTTACGCAGACGACGATGCTTCAGACAAGAATTTTTCCATAAACTGAACGAGTGTATCCGTGTCAGCTTCCGTGATAGCATTGTAGAGAGATACACGGATCCCTGTAACACATCGGAATTGATGATGAGTGGTGTTCAGATTCCGAAGGAATGAATGGCATGTACATACCTCCGACCGACCTATCCCCATCGCGACGGCGCATCAAATGTCAAAAGGTCTGCGGGCATTCATGCTAGCAAATATCTCTCACCGGTGACCCTTTAAGCCTTTCATGCCCGCTTTCTCAGCGCCAGCGAGGAACCGTTCCTCTGCGCCGTCACCAAGAACATTGAAGACGATATTCATCCAGCTCCCTGAGCCCGCTTGTACCTTGCCCTGGAACACTCCACGTTCCTCGCCCGTGCGAATGGCAGCGTACACCTTTTCCGCTTTCCGTCTGTTGAGCGCCTCGAAATACGGGAGGCCGCCCAACTCGTGCATGTGGTCGAGCACGAGCCCGGTGATGTAGATGGAGAGGAGCGACGGGGTATTGTACAAGCTCTTGCTCTGCGCGAGCGTCCGGTAGGACAGGCACAACGGGACGGGTATCGCACCGAGCTTGGCGGCCGCGTCGACGTCGACGATGCAGTCCTGCCGGACGATGAGGATCGTGAGGCCAGCCGGGCCGACGTTCTTCTGCGCGCCGGCAAAGATGACGGCGTGCTCGGCGAGGTGGGGGATCGGGCGGGACATGAACGAGGACGAATGGTCGCCGACGAGGGGGAGGAGGCCGCCGCGCTCGCGGGGGAGGCGCGCGAAGGGGAAGGACGTCTGCGCGGCGGCGTCGGGAACGAACTGCACGCCGTCGATCGTCTCGTTCTCGCAGTAGTAGATGAGCGCGGGCGCGGGCGAGAAGGCGTACTCGCCGTGCGGCGGCACGTTGTCGAACGAGACGCCGTCCTTGGAGTACTTGCGTGCGTCGAGGACGAGGTTCACGCGGGCACGGCCGCTCAGCCGGCGCGCCTCGTCGTACGCCTTTTTGCTCCACGAGCCGGTCAGGACGTAGTCCAGCACGCGCTCGTCGTCGGCGAGATCGGGGTAGAGAAGTCGGTGGCGCGCGAGGAGGTTCAGGACGACGGCGGAGAACTGAGCGGTCCCGCCACCCTGCGTGAAGAGGATCGAGTGCGTCGGGGGGACGTCCAGCTGGGTTCTGATGTGGGATTCGACGTTGGAAAGGAAGGCGCCGAATTCCTTGGAGCGATGCGAGAGCTCCGCGATGCCGATGCCCGTGTCGTTGAAATTGAGCAGTCCGTGAGCGGCCTTCTTGAGTACGCCCTGAGGAAGGGCGGAGGGACCCGCTCCAAAGTTGATCACGCGAGAGGTCGACATCGTCGTCGTCGTTGACTCGAGAGTGAATTTTTGGGACGAAAATGAAATATTGAGCTAATCAATTGGAGTCAGGGGACGTCACCCGGTTGGTTCGCACAGAGCGGCTACCTGGGATGGTGAAGAAGGACAAGAAACTGGCCGCCACCCCTCAGACTCAGGTCCCCGCTCCTATATTTCCTGTGCTTTCAGAGAAGAGTCACATCCGTTGCCATACATTCCTACAAGACCAGATTTTGCTTCTAAACGTGCGCCTATAACGGCATACTGATATCACCCATTACTGTACCAACCAACATCTCTCAGGACGTTCTCACTCCGGCGGAATGCCGAACATTTATCGACTTTATTGACAATCAACCTCTGGAGTTGACTCCTTCCAAGAAGCGTGGGGAGGCGGATAGAGTCAATTGTAAGTCTCCGGACCCTTGCCCTCCTCGGCGGTGAGCACTCAGCTTCAGCACCACCATAGACAGGCTCTCCATATCTTCGCCCGAGTTCGCAGATCGGCTATGGACAATACTGGGTCCCCATCTGCCGCTATTTCCGTATCCCGCCTCAAAGAAACGTCTAGATTCGAGTGCTCGGGCAGCCCATTTATTAAACTCAAACATTCGATTGTACAAGTACACACCTTCGCAGCATTTCAACCCCCATTATGACGACTCCATACGCGACGCAAAGACTGGTGCAGTCTCGGAATGGACGCTGCTTATATATCTCACTGGTGTCGAGGATGGTGTGCAGGGTGGGGAGGTAGGTGCAATGGGAACTCTCCGGGACTTTGTTTAATCCGTGCAGACCATCTTCTATCCGAACGGCAAAGTCAAGGCCTCGGAGGCCATAGTCGTACCACTCACACGAGGCACAGCACTTCTTCATAGGCAAGTCTAGACAGACACGATCTATGTATTTCAGCTGAAGAAATCTCTTAGACATGGCAACGAGTGTCTCCTTCACGAGGGATCTGAGGTCCGAAACGGCACTAAATACGTCCTTCGCTCAGACATCATGTTTATGAGTTAGGATGCAGCCGATATGGGGGTGTAAGCGGTAGGAAGGGCTAGAAAGAGGCTACCTTTTGCCCCTTCTTTTCTTCGCTGGCATGCCCGCCTGAACGATGTCATCGTCCCGATCTCTGACATCGTTGTCCTCGCCATCACCCTTTCTCCGCTTCCGATGTCCCTTCTTTCCGGCTTCTTCCCTTAGCTCCGTGGCCGCCAGTCGCCCGGCCTCGTCTACCCTTTCCCGTAACAGAGCTATCTCCTCCTTGTCTGTGGGCCATAGGCCCATCTTTTTGTTGATCACGGCTTCAATGCGTTGAATCAGTTCAACGTCGTATTGCGTGACAAGTGTTATAGATTTTCCTGCACGCCCAGCACGGGCTGTGCGGCCAACCCGGTGAATGTAGTCTTTAGAGTGCGTGGGGATATCGAAATTGATGACAATATCCACGGCTGGAATGTCAAGGCCACTGGGAAAGTTCCGCCTCCATCAGCAGTGCTTCCACCCGCCTATACAGGGGACCTACCGGCTAGCGATGTCTGTAGCTACCAGAATATTTCGTGATCCGCTCTGGAATTTACTTAAAGAGCCGAGGCGCTGACTTTGACTTAACTGCCCATGGAGAGGGATCGCTGCAAAGCCTAGATTACGCAGCACAATCGCGAGCCTAGTCGAAGTTGATAATCCATACATTCATTTAAAAAGAGCGGACATACCGCTGTGCATCGTGAACGGTTCGCGTAAAGACCATGATAGAATTTTGAGCCAAGGAGTTTGCGAGGTAGACGAGATGAACGTCCTTTTGTGATAGAGGTATAAAAAGGTAGTACTGCAGCAAAGTTGATACCGTAGAATACCTGCGTGACAAGGAAGGTCAGGCCTGTGGAGGTACGGATGGTCGTTTTTATTATTATTACTTGGTCGACACCTCTACTCGGACGGGGTTTGACAAGCTCGCACGCTGGAGCTTGGCCACCTTGGTGGTCATCGTCGCCGAAAACAAATACGTGGTCCGCTCCTTCGGGATGGCCTTTAGAATGCCGTCGATATCTGGCCCAAAGTCCATGTCCAACAAACGATCCGCCTCGTCGAGGACCTGGGAAGAAGTAGCTTCTTTTTCAGCTGGCTGCTGCGCGCGCGCAGCGCACGGACTGAGAGAGAAAGAGAGGGAGGGAGAGGGAGAGCCACAGAATGGGATGAGGATGAGGATGAACGACGTCGCTCACCAGAAACCTAAGGCCACGCAGACTGAACCCCTTCGTGTTCTCCAGGTGGTCCTTCAACCGACCAGGGGTCGCCACCACGATGTGCGGCTTCTTTGCCAACGCAATTGACTGCGTCACCGTGTCCATCCCGCCGACGAGGACCGTGCAGCGTACACCCATAGCCGAACCGAGCGCGTCGAATTGCTGGGAAATCTGGTAGGCTAATTCACGCGTCGGTGCAAGCACGCACGCAAAAAGGCCCTTTGGTTCATCCCATAGCTTCTGGAGGATGGGCAGTGCAAAGGCTGCTGTCTTTCCAGAGCCAGTAGAGGCTACGCCGATTATGTCTCGTCCCTCGAGAGCAGGTGGAAGTGCCTCAGCCTGAATGTCTGTTGGAGTTTTGTAGTTGAGCCGTTCAATAGCCTCGAGAAGGGGCTGTATGAGCCCGAGTGAGCTGAACGACGGCCTTTGGTTTTGCGAGGTACCCGGTTCGTCTGGCTGCTCTGAAGCCATTTTGTTGTACGCTCTCTGCGCCAGACGGGCGGTAAACAGCATAAATTACATAATCTAGCTATCACCCTCCCCCGCTGGCAACTCAACAACGAATGTACTCCGACCACCCCTGGGAAGTATGAGCACCTTTTCCGCTCCATGTACCTGATGAGTGTCAATGGTTGGCAGTGCTAATGATCGCATGGTCACCTCCCCTTCTAGGGCCTTGGGGGAAACCACCACGGTTGGAAACGATAGCTCGCCATGGTGCAGTGCAATCAGTGTTACAGGCACTATTAAAGTTGACCCATCCTAAGGTCGTTATTAATTCAGCCCTCAATGATCTAATCGCACGGGAGTAGACATACCTCAGCTTCAAACTCTCCACGCTTTCGCCCACTTATGAGCCAGTCTCGCACCATCTCCTCAATGTTGAACCGCATTTGATATGATTTACGACCCATCTCTTGCTTTGTGCCCCAGTGGAAGGAGGTCTGAATAGATAACAAAGCTGGTATAGGTTGTCCGGCATATAATGGAGGTAACTGATTCGTTGACTCTGAGTCTGCCGAGGAGGGTGTCGCTAGAATACGGAATCGAACTGAGGCGAGTATCTGCGCAAACATAGGAACTTGAATGAGACAGTGATTAGATTCAAGGATGAAGAATGAGAACTTGCATCCATAACTGGTACGTCGACTTGAATACGGATCTCTCGCCAGGGACTACTCTTCACGACCTCAGGCCAACCTTTTGCTAGCATCTGTGGAATGATAAGCACCCCCTCTTCTCGTAACCGCGCATGACGCAATTGAGTAACCCACG